ACTCGCTCCGTTAGAATAAAAATGAATTTCAAAAGAGAATCACAAACTCAAGATAACCAAAATGTACACCACAATCCAAACTATGAATATATCACGTTCAATTGCCACGCGTTATAAAGAAAATTAAAAAATCACTTAAGTTTATAAAATAATGCAAGAAAGTAAAAAACTCGAATTACAAAGAATGAATGCTTTAATTCAACAACTTACATCACAACTTAGTTTGAACTTTTTGATTCATAAAAATCTCAAACTACAAAAAATAACATGTACTAGCTTCTGAAATGTAACAATCTTGATGTGAGGCGAGAAGCAAAAAATGTAAAAGTAGGTCTTAATTTCTTAAGGTTAAAGTTTTAGACAATTACTGCTCAAATCCCAACCTATAAATTGTAAATAAAAAAACTATATAACAAATCAGTTCCATTCTAATACCCACGATTCTGGTTCAGGAACCAAGAACCGACCCGAACCTAGTCAATTCTCGATTTCGAGACCCTTTTTTTTTTTGAACGGGAACAGACGGATCTCCGGTTCCAATTCAATTTTGATTTCGATAGGTTCAGTTCCGTTAAAATGTACATGCCTATTTTTGGTAGCATCAATACTAATTCTTCAGATTAAAAGGACTTGAGCTCTTAGAAAAAGCATTACAAACTTAATGGAGATTAATCAAATAATTAATAACACAATATGGAAACTTTTAGACCAAGGAATATAATTATTTTTTGTTTTGTCAAAATACGTAGTTGTTCAATAATTAGATATTACATTTATATTTATATTTAATGAAGATAATGGAAGATTGATTAATTAACTTTAATTGTGAGCTCTATATTATACATTTGGAATTAAGTTGTCGTGTTCTTCACGCAACACAAAATTATTAATATCGTTGAACTGTAGTAAAAAGCGCTAATTACTAGAGCTGCACGACTTTGGCACATTGGCCACTTTCTAAGTTAGTGCTTGGTTTTTGTATGCATTATCTGCATGGCATATGCCATTGCGTCAACAAGCACTTACTAGTTTGATTTTTCACAATGGTTTTTTCTTATTTCGCCAAGAAGCACTTGCAAGTTTGATTGTTCACCATTTCTATCTTTTATTTCATGAACTTAAAAAAAAAAAACTATATTGAGAAACGATTGACGATTTTTAAGCTTCGAAACCTAATTGAGATGTCCATCGGAATATATTACAAGAGTTATGTTACATTACCAAAATGATTTTATCAGAATTGTGTCGATGAACACTTGGTAACATTTCATTGGTAGTTGGGCCAAAAATATTTTCCAACCATTCAATCACAATTAGCCAACTCATTCTGACAATCCGATTCTAGCAAATCATTTGGAAAAATAACAATATTCATATTAAAATGCAATAGACAACCGTAACTAATTTTCGTCGAGCACAACCCTTGGGAAATTATCAAGCATGAAAATTTGTCGGGAAATTCCGCATGTTCTAGCTATTGAAAACCGTCAGTAATAGCCGTTGTGCATGAATGACAGGTTGTAATCTCCAACGGCTATCAGAATACTATGAGTGTATATAACCACCGGCAATTTTTGAAAAACAAAGCTGTGGGAGATCACCGACGTTGAAGACATGTCAAAATTAAAGTGTCCACAAGATCTAACTATGATATACCCGTTAGTAATCACCGATGAACATGAATAAATGTTGATAATTTTCGACAGGTATAGCCGTAGGCCGTAAGAAAAGCTATAATTTATCCCAAAAGTGGACTCCATCTCTCGATTTAACATGTAATATATATATCATGTAATTCAGCTCTCGTTGGCAAACATGAAAATAGATCAACTTGAGACATCTAAATGCAATTCGCGAGAAACTAACAACCAACAGGGACTGGACCCCCAAAGGTCATTACCACGTTGACCTCCAAATGCATTCTGAGGTCATGAGCTTCGCCTCTACCATATATACAATGTATAATCCATCAAGTTTTCACTTTTTTTCTAGCCCTTCAACCTTGACTTTGTGCATTTCAATCATTGAACTTCTAATTTCATCCAATTTGGATGTCTTCAATTTTGGTCCTTGAAGTTCCGAAAGTGTCCAAGTTGACCCCAAGTTCTTATTTTGCCCATTTTTGGTCCCTAAAACTCGTGAATTCATCCAATTGACTATCCAAGACATCCAATCAAAACCCCAACTTCCGAGTACTTGTGCAATTCCATCCTTTTGTCCAAATTAAGCTCCAAATCACTTCTTTTCTCTCGATTCAACTTCAAATTGAAGTTTTCATCTAGAACCACAATATATAATACACTAATACAAGTAAAAATTCGTCCAAACAATCAGAAAATAAGTAGATTTAAAAAATAAGCGTGTAAACACACACCTCAACCATGTATTTTTTTTCTTTATTCTATGCACTCCCACAATTAATCCAAGTAATGGGGTGGTAAATTAACTTTTGAACTAACTATGAGTAGAACTAGTTCAAAATTATTGAAAGTAAGACTTAAATTTATAGTTGTTGTGCCTTGGCTATTCATTAACAAGACAGATAAGTTTTTCAAGCTCAATTTCCTGAACAACAAAGTGGAAAACATCAAACATTTTTTTGACAATTGACATGCACTAGCAACATGGTAGCCTACTTTAGGATGGATATATTCAAAATCATTGTAGTTTGTACATTGACATAAACAAAGAACGTTATTTAAAATTCGAATCCAATGAAAAAGTCAATTTAATGAGAGGGAAGTTGGAAAATTATGGGCAAAAATAGCTTTTTGCTACAATTGCTTGTGAGGAGGGTTAGTAACAGTGAAATTTACAGCCTACTATAGTTTTAAACTTCAAATTTCAAAATTAAGATGTACAATTTTATTTTATTTTCAAAAATCAAATGATAATTAAAATTTTTAATATTAATAATTATTCATTCCACATAACCCATACCTAACCACCGACATCAAAAGCTCTAATCATTTTCATCCTCTCTATTTTCTCTCCTCTCTCTAACCGTCGTCGAAAAGTGTCGACGACGACGCCACTAAGCAAGGCATTTCGAAGACGACAACAAGCGCCGCGCTCCGGCAACAACAGCAGCGTTCATCATAGTCGAGTGCCATGGCAACAACAACATCAACAATAACAACAAGAGTCTTTCTCTATCCACCTTTTCTCTTTTGGTTTTGGATCTGATTTGCTTGATTTCATCCTCGTTGGGCGACATTCTGGTTTGAGTTCTGGCATTGTGGTGATAGTGTGGTTGTAGTGATGGCAGTAGTGGGGTTTGTCAGTTCTGTNGATGGCAGTAGTGGGGTGTGGCAGTTCTGGATCTGATTTGTTAGTGGTGTTTGGGTGGCGATAGCTTTGTTGGACTTGCCGATAGTGGTGATTTTGTTGGATCTGATGGTGACTATGGTTTTTTGGTGGCAACGGTGGTAGATTTGGCGATTGTGATAGTTTTCGTTGGATCGACAGCGGATCTAGTAGTGGGGGATCTAATAGTGGTAGTAGCGGTCTTGTAGTTGAAAATAATGGTTTGTTGGTGGTTGTGGTGGTGAGGTGGTAGTGGTGGCGCTAGCTATGGTGGTGAGGTGGCACTACTTTCAATTGGTGTCATGGTGGATTAGGGTTGGGTGGAGAATGTGATGAGATTAAGAGTGTTTGTGACTAATTATTTGAGATTGTAATCAAAAAATTGAATATTTTGTGATCAATAAATAATATGCGAGATAACTTGTGATCATTAAATAATGTGACATAAAAATTTGAGTTGTGACTTATACATTTGTGATTTGCGACATATAAATTTTTTGATTAGCGATGAATAAATTGTGACCTATAAAATTTTTGATTCGAGATTATGAAATAATTTTTGGACCTTTACAAGTTTTGGCTCGAGAGAAATAATTAATGACCAAATAGTAAAGAATTGTGACCTTAATATATTTAATTAATAGAATATATTTTTAATTAATTATTTCATAAATAAAATTTAATTAATATCTGATTTTTGAAGTTTTAAACCTTATTTCTTAATTTTGAAATGAGTCATACTAATCTCTTAAATATGAAATTCTTCCATAGCGATATTTACCGACCGACAATTCATGTTTTGAGCAGCTCTGGTTGCAAATACAAGTGAAGTTCAATGAACCAGGCCGACCCATCAAAATTTGGGCCTTATTTTTGAGCTGAGGAATGAATATAGTGTAGAGTTTGGATTAGGCTTGGGTTGGGTTGGGTTGGCTAAGCCCAATTCGACCAATACAGCCTAATTGGCATCCAGGTGGGCTTTGGCTTAGGTTGGGTTGTAGCTTGGTGTGAAGTCGGGCGAACAAAAATTCTTTTCCATTTTATTTCATCAAATTGGCTCCATATTTAATTTTCACCTTATAAAATTGGTTCAAAAAAATATTTAATGCATCATAAAAGATCATGTCTGGTCTAACCTAGATTCTACTCCGCCCCTAACGTCCGAGTACTAGGTGAATAAACCCCACAATAAATTATCATGAAAAAAATACAATTGTGAAAGGTGAGCTCCACTTGCACTTCGTGATCTATTGCTGTGACGAATAACATTATTCTTAGTTTTTAAAATTATAAGTCTTAAAATACTGAAGTCCTCATTCAGCTCTACAAGAAATTGAAAAGTCATTCGATTCTAGGAAGCTGATCAGTAGAATACCAAACAATATTAAGGAAAAAAATACATTGTCTTGTCTCGTGGCGTGGCGTTCTTTCGTGATAATCTTCGCGAGTTATATGTTCATATCCACTATAATTAAATTGATTTAGAGAAAATAAATGAAAAAGTCAGGTCGATTTCTCACAGAATAGGAGTGCCAAATCGAAAGCAATCAAATCAATTTCATATGAAATTCATGTTTTTCAATTCTTCACCCTTCAATGTCGTATCCAAGTTCAACGATCCAGCATATAAGCATAGACTAAGTTTTGAGTCTCAATGTCATAACCAGAAAAGAGTACATGTAATGAATAGTGATTCAATGAGTAAGATGTCCACATAAACAAGAAAAATACAGTCGAGATCTATCACGACTCCCATGCTGAAATAAATCTGCATTGAAGTTTCTTGCAGACTCTGAATCGAGCCAAGAACTCGACTGAGGAGGAGCAACATGGTCTCCAATGAATAATGAATTTGTGTCCAAACCAGACAGAATATGAGTGAAATCGTCGGGTCCATAAGCTCCCGGGCTCTCGTTTCTTCTGTAATCGCTGGCAGCTCTCCTTTCCGCTTCAAGAAAGTGACCGAGAGATGGGGCGTTGTTCTTGTTCGTGCTCACAGCATCAGTGGTATTCGAGCATAGGGAGAAACACCAAATTTTGGACTTGTAACTTTTTTTATTCCTTGTGGGCTCTGGGAGTTGTCCCCTTGTTGATCTACGTGAGCGCTCGAGAATGCTTGAAAGACCGATAAGGCTCCCGAGAGTGATACTCCTATCATGGAAGAAAGAACCAGTGGACTGGAAAAGGGGAAGAACGTTAACAAAACAAGGACAAAGGCATTATAAACTTGCCCTAACTGGTCATCGAACTACTCTCACCAAACTAGCCAATTAGATTACAACCTTATTCGTCTAAATTAATATATCAGATACATTGAAAATAAAAAGTAAAAATCCTGGAGAAATCCAACAAAAATATATACATGGATTCATGAAATTAAACTGACCTCAGTATCAAGATCAGAAGAAGAAAAAGTGGAGGAAGTTGGTGAAGCAGTGAGCAAAGTGTTGAATGAAAAAGAGCCATTAATATCACCATTTCTGAACAACCCAACTCTCACATTCAGAGGTTCCAGCCCCAGTGGCCACCCCTCTTCCTGCAAATCAACAAAAACTATTCAATATTCTTACTCAGAGAGTGTTGAGGGTGGGATGGGAATTCGGATAATTAAACAACTAAAACAAGTACCCGTTGAGCCATAGCCTTCTCAGTTCTCCCCTGAAGAATTTAATAGGGAGGAAATACCAGGTGATTTCACTGTGAGGGAAAGAATTGTCATTTCCTTCCCACCATTGCGTTCTCTTCATAAATAGGGCAAAAATTGACAGCATATCTACTGTCCTATGACTAAGGGTTTTGGACATCATAAGTGCCAAAAATAAGTGCTTTGACTTCGCAGCCTCGAGTGAAAGTGAGAGGCGATGGGACCTAGAGTTGGTGATGAGTTGAGTCGAGTCGAATTCAACTTTTTCTGCCCACAAGCTTTTTTATTTAAAGAAAAATTGAGTATAGAATAAAAATTAAAAAAATTTAACATTTTTAAATAAGAAAAATGGAATGCTTGGCCTAAATCTGAGTTCAGCTCGATCAATGGACCATGGGTTTGTGGTGGAATGAACCAAGCCACCCATCAATAGGGATGACAATTCGACTCGTCGACTTGAATGACCCGTAGCCTGGCTCGTAAAAAGTTCGAATCGGCTCAACTTGTGGCTCAGTTGAACAAAGCTAAGGCTTGGGTTGAGCCTCGTCTTTGGATGATGGCCCGAGCTTGCCCGTGACTTCATGCAATCGTTGCTTGTTGCCTGCCGAACCTGCTTCACACAATGGCTGGCATGCCTGCTATAACCAATTTTTTTAAAATTAATTTTTAAAAAAATCGAGCCAGCTCAATTCAGTAAGGCTCGAGCCTCGATTTTTTGACTGAGCTTTGGCTCGACACTCCAACCCTAATTTTCGGCTCAACTCGACTCCTTTACATCCCTACCCATCAAGTTGTTACAACAATACAACAATTAATACTTTCGAAAAAAAATAGAAACTATTTCTTTCGACTTTAAAGAACCAAACATGCTCTTAAACATTTTACCTTCATTAACAAAATGGTTATGCAAAACTATCAATTTTATTTAACAGTTTTGGATAGATTGGTCTTTCCGTAACAAAATGATCTCATGCGTACAGTAGACATAAATTATAATGCACACCTATTGATGTGTCAACAAAACCGTCAATGTTATTTAACAATTTTAGATAGATTGATCTTCTATAACATGATGATCTCTTGTCGACATTGGGCATGAATTTTAATGCTCACTTGTTGATGTGGTGTTGTCACGTCAGTATATCAAATTTTTTTTTTCTTTTTTTTGAAAAGTCAAAAAATACCACTTGACCGTTGACGTGGCAATAGACAATTGTTATTCTCACCACGGTGGATGGACGTGATATCGGTTTTGCTTTCTATAAAGTGTTAAAAATAATCAAAGATGCATGGAGGGGTTTTTTCACCTATAGAGAATTTTGATTTAACACTTCTATCCGCACACCATGCCACAGCATTTTTGGTGTAGTCGTGCAGCCCAAAAAGAACAGGCAAACATGAAATTTTCTAGTGTTTGTATCACAAAATGTTACGTCGATTATTCAAAAAAGCAAAAGATGCTGTGAGATATAATAATGACAAATTGAGGATACAGTAAAAATATTGTAATGAAAATCATGATGAGGAACCCTAGTAATTTGACCAAAAAGGGGAAGGATAAAAGATTCTCCAATGCTAGCAAAATGTAGAAGGATGGTGCTATACGTACACAGCTTGCCCCCTGTAACGTTCGTATAGCTTTTTTCAATGTAGAAATGTTTAACAAGAAGATGCCATAATTGTAATTTGTCAACACAGAGATAGAGAATGGTCAAAAGTGCATAACCTGCGGGGTCCATTAGACCAGTGTTCGAGGTTTACACAAATCATTGGCATATGCAAATGTCACCTATTAGATATGACACTGCCATTCTGTAAAACGAAACAAGAATTCAATTTTGAAGCATGATACGGTTGCAGGCTCAACGATCGACTCAACAATATAGATGACACATGTCAACACATGATATGATAAGTTAAAAAAAAAATAAAAAAATACAACACTCAATCTCGCCTTGCCACCACACCCTGTCAGCAATCTCTGTCAAAGGAGCATTACTGTTAAATTTTAAGGGAAATAGAAATCAATCATACTAGATGTACATTTTACTTAACACCATGATTGACACTACTTCCACATTATAGAGTAAAGAACAAAACCATTTGTACAGGGATAATGCTAGAAGTACATCACCATCTACATAATGGTGTACATAATGCTAATGTGTCAATCATCCAATCATTGATGTGTCAGTGTCAAATTTGAATTAAAGGTCGGATGATTGCCACATTAGCATTATGTACACCATTATGTAGATGGTGATGTACTTCTAGCATTATTCTTTGTACAGAAATGGTGTTATAGAATTTCTACAAAAATTTCACATGGGAGGTGGACTCCACACAAATAAAATATTGACAAAAAAAAAAAATTAGACACCAACTATGTGTGTATTCTATCCATTTTCTGTGTGTACAGTACACAGCAAAGTTCTCGAGTAAATTAGAGATTGGGTAGAAAAGTAAACTTTTAATATGGACTAAACTTTTGTGGGACCAATATTATGAAGTATAAAGAAAATAGGAAATTATGATACCTACTTTTATTAGTTTCTTCAAATTTCAAATTTTGCCCATTTGATAAAAATTAAAATTTAGATTTTAATCAAATTCTACAATTAATTTTAACTATATATTTTGTAAGATCCATAATTTTTCAAGCACATATTTCATCAACTTTTATCAAAATTTATTAAAAATCTGATTTAATCCCGACAAACATGGGCTTCCCTTTTTTTTTCATAATTAATGACTTTTTTTAAAATACAAATATAGGCAGCAGACACCAACAAAAAGAAGCAAATCTGGTAGGAACGATGTCAGGGAATCAACTTATTGGTTATGGTGATGGTTGCAGGGACGTAACCAGAATTTCAATCTTGCGGGGGCGAAAATACGTCCGCCCCGAATTTTTTTTTAACTAAGAGGATTGGAAACGACGATTTTGAGTACCAAAATAGGCAAGTTAGATTGACTGACCAAAAAGATAATCAGTTTGTTGATACAAAAACAATATGTCCATCTATGTGTCTAATCCTATATAAATTGAAAACATGAACGTTAGATGGACATCAAAAACATGAACGTTAGATAGACATCAAAAGGACAAAAAGTAAACTGCATATCTATATAGCATATCTATATAGCGGATGGTAGAAATGGCTTGGACATCTGAAATTGGTCACTCCTACGGCTGCACAAAAAAACCGTGAAACCGCAAACCGAATCGAAGTCGTTGATTTGAAACCGTTGGTTTGGGTCCACGTGGACCCGCGTTTTTTTTTTCTCAAACCGAACCAAATCCTTTCAAAATAGTTTGGTTTAGGTTTCAAATTTTAAAAACCGTAATAAATCAAACCAAACTGCACTTTTTTTAATTAAATTTTTTTTATTAAATCGTAAATTCTCATATATAAATTTTATTAAAGTATAATTTTCAGAATTTAAAGTATACTTTCTTGGAGGGTATAAATTTAATTAACACAACTCATGCATAACAAACAAGTCAGTAAGTCATTTTCATTAGTATTTAATTGAGTCTTCGTTAAAAAAATATATTTAGGCCCATAATTACAAAATGAATTGAACATGAAATTGTGATTGTTGCCCAACCATATATGCAATTACGCCTTTGTTGATAATGCCTCTTCCAACAATGTAGCATTACTGAGATTGAAGAGTTGTTTTGAGGAGAAGAAGAATGGTCTACTGGGCGGAGAAATGCTTCATATGAGGTGTTGTGCTCATATACTCGATCTTATTGTTTGTAATGGTTTGAAAGAAATAAGCCATGTTATTTCAACTATTCGTAAAGCACTGAAATTTGTTAGATCTTCCCCAGAAAGATTAAAAAGGTTCAAGGAGAGTTACAAGGAAGCAAATATTGAGTCTCGAGATTTGTTGTGTTTGGATGTCACGACTAGATGGAATTCCATATACTCGATGTTGCAAGCTGCTACGAAGTTTAAAAAATCATTTGTTGTTTTGGAAAGTGATGGAAACTATACAAATTATTTTAATGAAGACAGGTTCGATGGAAGAAATATAAATAGACCACCAACACATGTCGATTGTGATCGAGTAGAAGTATTTGTCAGGTTCTTGAGGACTTTCTATGAAATGACTTTAAAATTTAGTGGCTCGAAGTATGTGACTTCTAATTTTTTTTTTCAAGAAATATGTGAAATTCATGTAGAGTGGAATGAATTAGTTAAAGAGTCTAACACTTTGATGGGAACCATAGCAATTAGTATGCAGAAAAAATATGATAAGTATTGGGGCCATGTTGAAAAGTTTAACCAGTTGTTGTTCATTGCAACAGTTTTTAACCCAAGATGCAAGTTGGAACTTCTTAAAGTCGGGTTTGAACTTATTTATGATGTAGAAATTGAAAAAATGTTGTTAAAAAGAGTTGAAAAGACACTCCACGTGTCACGGGCAGCAGCCTTACTCAAGCCCCGTGACGCTATTGCAGTCGCTGCACCTTGTAAATATTTCATTTAATTGTAAAATAGTTGATAATTAGAAAATTTTAGTATGATTCCTCGGCCAAAAGACGTCTACTCCCGTCTTTTGGGTTTTTGTTGCTAAGTCTATTATAGGGGGTATATGACTTTCAAACATCTTTCAAGCTTTTCTAGTGTTCGCCCCCTGCACTAGCCATTGTAATTTCCTGCTTTCAATCTATTGTAATTTCAAGCTTTCTAGCAATCAATGATCAAGTTTATTTCAATGCATTTCAATTTCGTGTTGTAAGCTTTCTTTAAATTGTGATCAAATCTACTTTTGTCCCGAGACGGACCGAGAAAAGGCGGAAGGTAGTCTAGCGGAGCAGACTACTGCCGCACGGTGTCCCTTTCTGTGCTAAGAAGAAAGGTAACCCGTGAAAGTTGGTATCAGAGCTGCGGCTCAAGACCCTCGATAAGAAAGCGATGGATACAATGGAACCGGACACCACGGAGGTGGTGGATCCTCAGAGGAGGACTACGAAACAGCG